CATTTTCAGGCGTCTCGGTGTATATAGCAGAACACAATACTAGTACAGTGTAAATTCAACAACGACCACCGTAATGCGCACGCTACATTCCAAGCAGATATGCAGCAGGTGCATCTCGGGACAGAACTGTTATTATTATTATTATTATTATTATTATTATTAGACACAATCTCATAGCATGTGACAAGCATAGCTAATGCAGGGACAGAATCCCCTGAGACAAGGGCGTTGAGCCAACCACGGCAACTTTTAGTATTAGTAGTATTTATTTCATTTACCATCGGATGCCTCAACAGTGATATACACAACTCTTAAGAGGGCCGATAACGGGATAAGTGAAAAGGAAAAACTGTTTCGTCCTTTGTACTTACATCGCTAACCACTGCCGCGTTGCTGATGCGCTCAATATCGGCATCCATACGACGGACGTGAGGCAACAGGCCAAGAATATTTGCCAGCGCTTCCTGCACTGCTTTCGCCGCCTGCACAGAAAAAATGTGTGTGTTTGTGTGTGTACACATACAAACACACATGCACACGCACGCGCACACACACGCACACACACACACACACACACACACACACACACACACACACACACACACACACACAGTCAATCAAATTTCTGAAGCGGATGGTGAAAACTAGCGAGTGCCAAGCTGTGGTCATGGGCTGCAGGGAAAGGGACAAACGCCGTTTGTGGCTGCTTTTCCCTATGTAATTTATCATATCTACTGCTTGTACAGTATGGGTTCTATTGCCATGAAACTCAGAGTAACAGCAAAACGTTTTTGCCACCACTTTGAACTAGTGTCACGGGCTCCCCTTCTTGGGTTGAGCACTTTTGCAAGCCAACAGCATCTCCACTGTGCAATAATAGAAGTATTAAAAAATAGCAGCAGTGATAATAATAAATCACGGTTTGTGTGAAACTCGGCTGCAGGCCGAGTTTTCCGCATCCGTAGGAACGCCACCACCACCCCCAAGAATCCTAATAGTCTACTGCTGGATCAAACTCACAGCCACCAGATTTCTGTTGCCGTCCTGACCGCCCGCTCCAGTCACCGAGTCCCGTGCCGCCTGCAGGAGTCCGACGGACGTCGAGAGCGCACTCACCACCGACGTCAGCAGAAGCTTCTGGCCAGGGCGGTCCGACGGGCAGCCTCCCGCCACGTCTCGGCTGCTCTCGACCAACTCTGTCAGCGCTTCGGCTACAGACTGGGCCGCCTGGCCCGTCAATACGTCGTCTCTCTGCAGGCACAGGCAAAGGTGGAAATCAACACAGCACATGCGCACACAGACACAGACACAGACACACACATACACACACAGACACACACACACAAACCGAGACACACACGACATAGTTATAAAAGCTGTGAGACTGATAACAGAACACACTTAGCTAACACAGTGTACATTGAAGACTCCCCTGCATTGCCACAATACATGTATCAACACTATGTGCAGATCAGGTGATGTGCACGTGCACCCTGGACAAGACTAAACAATTTGCTAAATGATGTACAAGACCATTGTGCCCGACAGAAAAAGCCTCACCTTGGCCGCAGCGCCAACAAGACCTGCCATAGTGGCGCCCACGGAGCGTGCATCCTCGGTCAGTTGCACTGTGGCCCCCTGCAGGGTTTTATTGCTTGCTCGCTGCCAGTCGTCACGAGCGATCATCTCCACATCTTCATTGACCAGCTCAGCGAGGTCATTGACAGTTTCCTGGTGATGAGCACAACCAGCAAGCAAAGGACCAGCGATCAGCATAGCATTGTAATCAGAAAAAAAGACATTTGCACGGCAGAACAAGAACTGTGCTACAGCATTAAACAGCTGAAGTGCTGGGCAAACATTCAACCTGCCTGAAGCTTTACTGTAGGGCAATTTGAATTCCATAGAAACGCGGCAGACCGAATACAACCCTCAAGAGACTCAGAACAAAACAAGTTGAAACAACACCATCAGTAACAGGATGTGTGTTTGTGTTGCTTTTAGTTCGAACACCTACAGTACTGCCGGGCGCCGAAGAACGACCAGGCTAGAATGTCACCAAGCATGGCATAGCAATGTATATACGGCGACTCACCTGTTTATAGATTGTAACACATGAAAATAAGAACAGCCTAGGCCAGGAGGCTACCCCCCCCCCCCCCCCCCCCCCCCCCCCCAGTTCTTCGGCGACCAACAGTACTGTACATCACTTACAACAGCTGCGTCCAAGTTGAGCAGGCCGCCGGCCTCGGAGAAGGCGTTGATGGCCGCCTTCAGCTCGGCGAGCGCCACCACCACACCCTTCAGTACCGCTAGCAGATCAGATGCCAAGTCGTCGCGTTGCACGATGGCGTGCGTTGTCTTTGCCAGGACAAGCAGCTGTGAACAAAAGGCAAAACACGCGCAACAAATGCAACTAATGCAGCAAAAACTAGTGTAAGTCTGCCACAAGCAACTACTTTGTAATAGATCAAGAAGGTTACATGGACATACATCGCCCGTTGCATGGCCAACCAAGCACGCATACCCCACCACGTGGCCATATAGAATGTTATGTAGTACCAAGGTACTTATACTTACTCACTGTTAAACTGGTCACATGGGAGAGGGGAGAGAGATCCAAACGGTACAAAGGTACACACTGATGCACGCACGCACACACCGCAATGCAGCAGAGCTACTTGTAACAACAAACCCACCTCGGTACCCGGCTGCAGCAAACCCGGCGCCGTCGTCAGCAAGCGCAGCTGAGCCTGCGCCCGCTCTGGGTTGTACTGCAGGTTCTTCAAGGCCGTGCCGAGAGCTCCAACCTCGTCGTCCACGCTGCCGCACACCCGCTGGAGGTCCTCCTTGCGGTGCTCGTTGTCAATGTCTTCCACCACGGCGGATGATGTCACCGTCAGCTGTGTGGAGGTGGCGCAGGCCCGCCTGGCTGCCGCCTCCAATCGGGCTAGAAGCTATCGCAGAAGAGTGACCAGAGACACAACACACCATGATTCAATTCCGGTACCGGAGCACAGAGACCATTCCATACACTGTACTTTGATATGCGCAGCGTGGATGTACAGTGATACTTCAGCATAGTGTACATGTACATCAGATGGGCATACAAATCAGTACTCCATACAGCCGAGGTGCCGTGTGTCCGGAAATGAGTCCCCAGAAAAGTACTCTATATCCGATGCAAAGAGAAAGGAGTTTCTTCTGTCCGCAGTGCTATATACTGGAGATGCACTGTACATGTGTAGAGATGCACAAAGACTAAACAACATTTTTGTCCGGAGATGATTCATGACAGTGTGTGAAACCATCGAAATACATCATACAACGCATGCAAAAACTTACCAGCCGTCGGTAATCATCACCGACAGCAGCCCAGACGGCTTCCTTCAGATCCTCAATGCCCTCGTGCAGCGTGTCCTCACTGGCCGGAGATCCGGGATTCTTGTTGTTCAGCTTGGCGGCCTCCACCAGGCGAGCAGTGGCCTCGGTCAGCAGCCGTGCGCTGTCCATTAACCGCTGACTGTCGTCGGGATCATTCAGACCCCTGGCCTGGTCGCGGAGGCTGCTGACCAAGCGGGAGGCGGCTCGGCCAGCCGTGCCCATCTGCGTGTGCACAAGAGATGGACAGACGGAGCAAACATGCGTGAGCATCCAGCGGAAAAAAGCAAGTAGCTCATCGGTCAAACACGTCTAGTCTATGTCTAGCACCACTAAAACCAGGCTTATGTGCCACAAGCGTATCTTGAAAAATCAGGCTTGTATTCAAAACAGGCTTCATTACGAGACTGGCTGCTTTTATACCTAGGGTTCCCTGTAAAAAGGCGCTGACGCCTGTTGGGAATTCCCTAGTAAAAGAAGAATAAATAATAATAATAATAATAATAATTCAAAGGATCAGTCTGGGAAGTGAACTGCCTGAAAAGAGAAAAAAACGCCAGACCCACCAGGACTCGAACCTGGGACCCTGCTTGTCATGAGCAATGCTCTAACCACAGAGCTATGGGACCAGGCTGAACCCAGAAGACGCTGACAAGTTTTTCACTCCAAAGGCAGCTCACAACACGTGCCACACGTACTGATGGCACTTGGGTCTTTTTCCCTCCCCCAGGGGACCAACCACGGTCAGTTTCTGGAAACTACCAGAGGTGAAAGAAAGTGATTAAATGCTCATGACAAGCAGGGTCCCAGGTTCGAGTCCTGGTGGGTCTGGCGTTTTTTTCTCTTTTCAGGCAGTTCACTTCCCAGACTGATCCTTTGAATTTGAAGTTCTCCCAATCCTTTCCAAATTTAATCACTTTCTTTCACCTCTGGTAGTTTCCAGAAACTGACCGTGGTTGGTCCCCTGGGGGAGGGAAAAAGACCCAAGTGCCATCAGTATGTGTGGCACGTGTTGTGAGCTGCCTTTGGAGTGAAAAACTTGTCAGCGTCTTCTGGGTTCAGCCTGGTCCCATAGCTCAGTGGTTAGAGCATTGCTCATGACAAGCAGGGTCCCAGGTTCGAGTCCTGGTGGGTCTGGCGTTTTTTTTCTCTTTTCAGGCAGTTCACTTCCCAGACTGATCCTTTGAATTTAAAGTTCTCCCAATCCTTTCCAAATAATAATAATAATAATGAAGTCTGAAGAAAATGTTGAACGGCCTCTGCTGGGATGACGACTACACCATAGCTCAGTGGTTAGAGCATCGCTGGCTACAAGCGAGGGTCCCTGGTTCAAGTCCTGGTGGTGGCAGTCAATTTTTTCTTCAGACTTTTCCCGTTCGTCTCTTTCCCTCAAACCAGTCAATAATAATAATAATATACAAGACACAACAGTACATGAACATGCAGTGCACTTGTACACGCACACGACGATGTTACTCACATCCTCGATAACCGCTGGCGTGCTCACGCTGCCCTTCAGCTGGTCCAGAGCGGTGAGAATGGCCTCGCACAGCTCAGCGTTGGTGCTGCGCCACGCCGAGCGCGGCCCCTCGTTCAGCTTGGCCACGTAGGCCTCCACC